GATGTCTGTATGTTTTATGGACTGGCAGAAAATTTGAAATTATGCTAATGAGCTCCAGTGACCTTTTTTAAAACTCAAATTATTATGTCAATGCCACTTGAAATGAATATGCATTTTGGAAACTATAGGGAAAAAATGAGAGTAGCTGGGGAACAATACATCTGTATAAAGCATATTACTGATGATGGGACCAGGTGACCTCTAAGAAGTGGTCTCTGGAAACAGATGTCATCACAGTGTTAATGCTGTCACCTGTGACTTGGAGGAAGGCCCTGTGGGGGTGGAGACACTGAAACTCACTGCTGATAAATCTCAGAATTTTTTCCTTTTACTAAACCATTCACTCAAGTGGTCTTTGGTACCTGAATTTCTTTCACTCAGAGGTGTATTTTAGTGCACTCAGTTTGGAATATTTCTCCTGTGTTTGCTTAAGTTTTTTTCTTTTCATCTTTAGGTGGGAGATTATGCCTGAATTTCCTCAAGAGAGAAGTTCCATCAGTTTGGTCACCTTAAGTGGAGCTTTGTATGCTATTGGAGGATTTGCAATGATTCAGCTTGAATCTAAAGAATTTGCACCCAGTGAAGTCACTGACATATGGAAGTAAGTTTAATTTTAATCACACTTCCCTGGTGGAAAGCTGTATCTAAAACTGAGGTTTGCAGATGCTGGAGGGTAAAATTCATTTTCTGTTTAACTCTGGAAATGAACCATAGCCCAACAGATAGAAATGTTTGTCAGAAAGTAACAAACATGAGAGTTGGATCTAATGACTACTTCCACCTACTAATAGTTTGAACGGTCTGAGTCACAGTCTTCAGATTCTTTTACTTTTCAAAAGAGTAAGCTGACATATCTCTTGGCAGGTTTAGCCTTCTTGTAACCATAAAAACATTCTCTGTGTCATGACACTCTCATACAGAAAAGCCTGTATACAGAGGTTTTAGTGTGTATTCATGTGTTAACAGTCACATGAGTAACTGTTCCAAGAAAATCGGAAATCCCTATTCTTGAGATTTTTTAAAATCTAAATCACAATAGCAGTGATGGAACATCACATCTCTGCTGTGACTCTTCAGCTGTGAAGGTAAATTTGGGAGTTTTAACTGGCAGAAGGATAGGAAGGATTCCCAGAAAAACCACCTTTATGCATAAGAATCTGAAGGAATTCAGAAGAGAGACTTCAGACAAGGAGGAAGCTCTTACAGGAGTAATTAAAGTATGACGCAGGACAGCAATAAGCTTTAAGGACCAGGAAACATCTTCCTGTTCTGTTCTGGAGGACAAAAGCAGCCTTTTGCAGCATCCTTCAGCACATGGTTGCTACAGGCCTTTGCAACACGTGGACTATCCTACTTTTCATGTATGTGTGATGAAGCATCAAACTCATTTTAAGAAGCTCTGTTCTAACCTTATTTTGTTAAATGCAGGTATGATGACGAAAAGAAGGAATGGGTTGGCATACTGAAAGAGATCAGATATGCTACTGGAGCCTCCTGCCTGGCTACACGCTTAAACCTCTTCAAGTTATCAAAACTGTAAACAAAATGCTGGAAAATGTGATATGGTGAGGGAGTTTCAATAGGCTCTTCTGGTTTTGTTGCATGAAAACGTCCCCAGATTGTACAGAGTTTTGTAGCAGCACACTAGTTATACTGTTAACCAGTTCATTTCTGTCCAAGTCTTATGATATTTACTACCTAATCAACAGCAACTGAATTTTTGCCAATGTTTAAAATCCTGAAGAATTCTAATTAACATTTATTAGAATAAATGAAGATTTCAGCGGAACTCAATTTTTCACTCTGTGAAATCACCAATAAAACTAGTTAGACTTCCTTACACTCAGACAATCCAGGATACTGATGGCTTATCCTCTTAAACATGCCCATGAATTAATTGTTAAGTTAAATACAACTAGTAGGTAGCTAATTTTGTTCTAACTGGCTGTTTGTACAGCCTGACTCCCCCCTTCAGCAGTGTATGTAAATCCCGCATTCTTCAGCCATATCTTGAAAATATTTTCATTAGAGCCTTCTAAAAATAATTTACCCTGGAATTGAAGTGCATATTGAAAACAAAAGTGGCATAATACTGTGTGGCCTGAGAAACACCAACCTCAGCCAAAGCTGTACTAGTAGCCAGTCATGAGGAAAGAGAAAGAAGTTCACAAGGTTAATAGTTCTACTGTTTCACCTACTATGTTTAGGCTTCTGGTAACAAGGATTTTCCACTTTTTTATGCTTTTATATTTATTTCCAAAGCAAATATTTTATGCAAGTTTTTCTTAGATCTGAGGCCATTAATAAGCATTCGTGAAAAAGTCCTAAAAGAACTGATCATCAGGAAATACCTATGGCAGAGAGGATTTTCCATCTAATAAGGAGTTGGTGCATTTTGATGTTTAAACTTTTAACAATTAAACTCTGTTTTTAAAACTATAACGGTGTCTCTTTTAGTGATCAGCTCATCACCACTATCATATTGACAGGACACAGATTTCTTAGTACAGCCTTTGACCAAAACAGAGTACTCGGTTTTCTTAAAGTAGAGCATGCCCACCATTTTTATAGAGTATCTCTTCAAAGCATTTCTCCACTGAATAAAGAGGGTGTCATAAATCTAAAGGATGTTATAAATCTAAATTTAATTACAACTGATGTAGCAGGAGAACTGGAAAGGAAGCCCACCACACCTGACTGAACAGCAACGCCAACTACCAAATGACCCCTCGTACTACCCTCCTAGGAGACAGAGGTAAGCACACGGCAAAGGCACAGCCATCATAGCTCACCGCAGGACGTTACTGTACGCTGGTACTTCAGCTGCAGGACACCTTTTCTGTTTTCCCCTTTGGTACCCAGATCTTCATCTGTTCTTTGCATTGGCTCCAGTTAAATCACTGGTTTACACCAGCCCATCTGCTCTAACACTTACTGATTTACTTTAGAAAGAATGACTGCAGAGGATCAAAAGCAGCACATTTTACTGAAATACTCTCACATTTTGCTTTTCTTAGATGCCCTCTCTGAATCCACTCATGGCAAATTTTAATCCTCTTCCCATTGTGAATACTCCTAACTTTGTCCATACATAACTTGAAGATACCTGGCTTAGCACAGAGTGACTGCCAGATACCTGAAAAGCACGGTTCAGCTCAAACACATGATCCCTGCAGTTACAGCCATTGCCACGTTTCTTACGCTCCAAGGTTGCTACTAGAGGGCCATTTGTACAGAAGCAGCGTCATGCAAGAGCCCTCTGACTTGTAGCCCACCTTCTGAGATCCTAACCTATATTTACGATTGCCTTCTCCATTTATACAAAATATAATGTGCAGATAGCCTTTCTATGTGCTGTACCTTCGACGACATTTCCTCAAAGCACTCGTCTTCTGTATCCTGGAGCCCTTGTCTGTTTGATGCCGTAAGCATCAAACTGATGACTAGTTTTTTCAGTCATCCCACCAACGCGAGCCCGGCCTCAGGAGGAAAGCACTTTGCAGCTTAGCTCAGTTGTCAGTTTTTCCTGGCTTTTCATTAGTGTCCTGATCTGTATTCAGTCAAGAAAAGTATTTCCTTCTACCACTGGGTAATAAAAAAAGTGACAGCCAGGTGCATAATGGTCAGTTCAGAATACAGTCACTTCCCTCTGCCAGGTTTCAAAGGAAGTGGTAAAAAGCATGTCTATTGCTTCGACTAAAAAGGCAAGAAAACTCAGGTACACATTGTGTGTGTGAAAGAGAGGGGCACAGCTAGCAGTCGTCATGAAGTCATGGCAGCTGTAGTCACAACATGGCTGCCTCTGAAATTGGGCCAATTTAAGGAAGAATGACCACTGCATAGTTACTGCTCTACAATGAATGTTCTCCTGGCTATTCCACTTTTTCCTTCTACATCCCAGTACCTTGTGCCTCCTGACACAAACCCTGGCTGAAGGAGATCACGGGAAGCCTGGTAACTGGCAAATGGTTTTGAAATATGATAACCCAGCAATGTTTTTCACTGCCAGTAACCAAGGCAGTTGACTCTCTCTGAAGACTTGTCTTGGTTCTTGGTTTCAATTTCCAGCCTGATTTTGCTTTTTTGTACACTGTCTTATTTACAGAACAGGCAGGTTAGATGGTTTGTCTAATTTTGTTTTATTTCTATTAGCAAGGGCTAGTCCAATGCATAATGCCACAATAATAAATTTCATGGATTATCCAGTTGCTAGTAAGTGCCTATGTCTGACATAAGCATTATTTTCTCCTTATCTCATATAAATCTTTCACATATCCCTTCCAAGTTGCATTTAACTGGAGTACAGGTGTTCCAGGGGTCTGGGTGGCTGCCTTTTAGGTCTGTGAAGGCATTCCAGAGGGCTCAAGCCACACTTCTGCACACGCCACATCACAGGGCAGGAGAAGCAGCTGGAGGTTCCTCACCACTCGGCACCCCCCCAGACACAGTCACCCACAGTACCTCTGTTCTGCAAGGTGGAAGCAGAGCGGCTGTAAGAGCAGTCCTATTCTTAGTAAATCTGCATTTCAGTTTCTTGGTTTCACAGCACAGATACTGTCTGATCCCTATTGCTCATTCTGTCACATGCTAAAGGACAGACATAGTTTCCAGTAGATCTGCTGCCTCCTCTCTCTCAGTCAGGAGTATTTCCAATTTTTTTTTTTGTGCAGTTTTATATCTGGCTAAGCCTTCATGCTTTATTTAGGAGATAATAATGTAATTTTATGGCAAAACTGTCACAGACTCACATACTTAAAGAATAGCTTCCAGATAATGGCAGATTTTAAGCATCCTTATCACATCTTCATGGCCTACTGTGACCTGCTTTATGCAATCCCTAACAAATTGAGGATAAAGTCACTTGCCACCTGATGCCCCATGGCAAGCTTTGGTCCGGCTGACTCACAGAGATCTTTGAAATTAAGTATTCCAGGATTAGAAGAAGTTTAATGGTACATGAAGTGTTTATATATAAAATACTTCTGACTGCATGTCTGACATCACTGTATTCCATATAGATGCTTTCTCAGATATTCTAGCTGTTCACCTTTTGTTGACAGAACCATAGAATTCCATTCAAAGTGAGGAATCTGTAGAACAGAATCATACAAACTGAGTGTTAACATCTGGTATAAGCCACATACCATCTTACAGCAAAGAAAAAGCTCTCTGATATCTGTTTTCTCCACTTGAAGATACTTTATTACCTGTGTTCTTCTAAAAGCTAGGCTTACTCTAGTACTGAAATGATTGATTTCTCCATGTGAGATTCTTCTTCATCTAACTATAGTCAGTTTGCTTCCAAAAAGCAGCATAGTTGCAGAGATGTAAAGCACATGCCTACACAATACAGGCTAGGCTAGGACAACTCCATTACACCACCTCCCACCTTTTGAAACCTGAAGAAAAATCCCGGTCACTATAGTTTGTAATGTGAATGTATCAAACTGGAATGGTGTATCAGTAGCATAACATTTACTGCCTGGGCACTATGAGAAAGGATGTTTATCCTGTTAAAAAAAATCCCAAAACTTAAGCTTAAAGAAGGATTGTAGCTAAAATTAGAGTAGGCGAGTAATTATATATACAGGAGAATCTGCATTCATTATCCAAATGTTTCTATGCTGGTGGCTGTGAATTATCTCCGGACACTAGTGCTCCCTGTCACAGCACTATCACTGCAGCAGACAGACAGCATCCACATCCTGCCTTGCAGCTGCCATAACTGTCTCTCTATCACTCCAGGAGGGTATGTTCAGTCTTTTTCTGGTGTAGCAATCTTTGGTGAACTGAACTGAAACTCTTGTTTCACTGTTTCTCCTTTACTCATGCTATGTTGGGATTCCTGGTTTGCCTGCAGTAAGGTAAGACTGAGACCTTTTAACTTCAGTTTTGTTGCAGCCACTTTCAGAGAAGGTGCAAGTTCTATGAAGTCCTTACACCATGCTGAAAACAGCTTGGAATTTCCTCTCTAAATACAAAAATTGCCCTCATCCAGTAAGTGCTTTTAACTATCTTTAAATCTGTTGCAAGGAAAATGTATCAATCTGCACTATCCACATAACTCAGAAAGGACATGAAACATCACTGACTGCTCACCTGAACTACCCGGTACCCCAGCATTTCCAGGTGTCGTTTTCTCACTGCAGGTTCTCCTTTCAGGTGACGTGAATTTTTGCTGAAAGCTTTTGAATCAAGAAATTCCAAAGCAATTCTGCAAACAACAAAAATGTGTGTTTACTTTCAGGTTCTACCCGAATAGTGCAAAGTGGTATTTCTAGTTCCATATTGATAGCTGCAGCAAGACTATTACTAGATAAACCTGAGAATTCATAGAAAAAGAACATTAAACTACTTCCTCAAACTAGACAAAACACCTTCCTCATATTTATCTAGAGATACTTGAACTTCACATGATTTAGAGAAGGCATTTCTTCTGTGCATCTGGTTTAGTTCAAATGGCAAAAACAGCTAACCAGTATTTTCAAGGCTCACATTTGAAAAGGTGAGAGGAAAACAGTATTCCAGTCCCATGAAACACATTTCAAGAGAGCCCTGTCTGCCGTAGTGATCTGGGTCTGGCTGGGATGGAGTTACTTTTCTTCATAGCAGCCCGTATGGTGTTCTGTTTAGGATCTGTGACCAAACCAGTGCTGATAACACACCAATATTTTGGCTATTGCTGAAGAGTGTTTGCAGAGCCTCAAGGCCTTCTCTGTTTCTCACTCTGTACCCACAGTGCATAGGCTGGTGTTGGGAGGGGACACAGCTGGAACCTTAACTGGCCAAGCAGTATTCCACACCATGTAACATCACACTCAGCAATAAAATGGGAGGAGCTTTTCCAAAGCAGCCATTGCTCCAGCACTGGTCTGCTGGTGGTGAGTGACTGTATTTCCATGAATTGTTTTCCCTTTTTGGTTGTTTTGGGGTTTTTTGGTTTTGTTTTTTTTTCCTTCTTTTTTCTCTTCATTTATTAAACTGTCTTAATTGCAACCCAGGAGGTTTTTTCCTTGCTTTTGCCCTTCAGATGCTCTCCCCCATCACACTGCAGGGAAGTGAGCAAGAAACTGGGTGGCAGCTTAGTTACTGGCTGGGGTCAACACACCACACCTAGGAAGGCCAAACCTCATAAGGCTTTGGAAAAAAGAACAGAAAAAACAAATAGCCTAGGGACTGCAACAATCATTTAGGACATAAGCATGGAAAACCTGGTCTAAACTTTATCTAGAAGAGCTAATGTGCAAGAATTTGATGTACTAACCTCTGAGCTCCTGGTGGTAGAGCTTCTCTCCCTTCATCCTTGATGTTATGTCTCAAGTGTATTCCCTCCACATCATCCAAAGGTATATTCTGAGCCATATAGGAAAGAGGCTTTTTATTTTCATCCAGAATGCACTCACAATCTGTTAGAAAACACAACAATCTGTTTACTGACAAAAAAGTGAAAGAATTTGATCTGTACAGTGTTTACTTCTAGAAAAACTAAGTGATAACCATAATTAGAGATAGCCAGCATTATTTATATTATGCAGGACTTTTTAGAAACTGTATTTTATACAGCAGTTTCTTCTTTGCAGTATCTTATAGCCACATGCCCAAGGGCTTCCTAATCTTGGTGATAACAGCAATATCAGAGGTCTCCGTAACAATCCCTAAAAGATTAACTTCTCACCTATTTCATAGTAGTATGGTGTGAGAACAGATATTCTTGCATAATTGCTCCCTCCTAAAATCTCTGTCAGCATTCTGTGAACGTGCTGTCGCAGAGGATTTATTCGGCTACTGCCTACAAAGACAAAATAAAGAATTCATACATTAAAACTTCCACAGCCAAAGTTTTGAAAGTAGCACTTTGTGACACTGCATTTTTGACAGCCAGCCTACTGAATTAAAGCTTTTCCATAGATCCCTGGTGTTATTCCACCACAATTCAGAGACCAGCTGATCATCTTTTGGGTGGAAAGTGGCAGGTGCCTGTTAAGCACGAATTTCAAATCCAGACTTTCCATCCCAGGATTCTTCCCACTGACATACTACAAACACTTCAGTTCCAGGTTTTACCTGTTGGAATTCGTTTGCTTTTAATTGTGCTTAGACAGTGAAATAAGAATTTACTTATTTTGCATCTGTCACAGGCATACCCCACTATCTGTCACCTCTCTGTTGCAGACTGTTTAATACCCTGCTCCATTAAACATGTTCAGTCTCAGAGATAAAGCAGCTGAGTTCGATGGATAGCAAAGCAGATCTCCTTGATGAGAATTAGGGGAGCAGATACTGAGTTTGCATTGGTCGGATTTTCTGAACTGATCACTATTCTGAAAGATCTCAGCTGCTAAACTTGACCACTAACCTACTTTTCCACCTCTCACCCTTGATGATCTTGATTCTTCTGAGGAAGACAACAGCAGCACGTTCGAAAGGAGGCAGTAAAAATGCTCACCTTGAAAAATTTAAGTCAAGTGTTCAGTCTTGTAAGGGAAGCAGGGATGAAAGTGACCCATCTCCTCCAGAAGACAATACTAATGATCCTCTTCCTGCCTCTCCATCCTCCATGCCATATACACTGTTTCTGTGTATTTAAATTTTCTTATGTAGAAATATCCCTTCTCTATTACATTATTTCTCAGGGGAAAACTGCTTTGCTACCTGCCACATTACTAAGTAGCTGCACTTTTCAAGAACACACCCTTAGCAGATAGTGGAGTGTGTCCTTCTGAGTTTCTATTATGCGCCAGTGTCAACATGACAGTTTTGGAAGAAGCGCCTTAGCAGGCTGTGGAAAACAGACTATTCCCAGTAACAGCTTCTCCTCTGCTAAATTACTTACTATTATGAAAGACACTTTGGCAGTAGTGCTCATGAAACCATGGGATGTGAAACTCCGGGCATTCCAGACAGACTGCTCTGTTCAATTTCATAAGGCGCAAGCGGACCCTCTGCTTCAGGGCATCAGGCAGGACTGAGTTAAACAAAATAAAAAGGTACAAACTGAAACGTGAAAAATCCAACACACTGAACTGAACGGCTACCTCTGGATTCTTGGCTAGAGATGCAAATATCTGTGTACTATGGTATTTATAAAACTCATGTTGCAGAATCTTAGAAAGGTTCTCAAAATCCCTGGGGAAAACATGAAAAATAACAGTTTTGCTCAATATTAAGAACAGCAGCAAGACAGAAGAAAGCTGCAATTTAATCTTTCTTCTCTCATTTATTTTTCAATGAAGTGGTTGAAGGCAAAATGGCAACAGTACTTTGATAGTGAACAACATACAGGTAGAGAGGATGGAAACAGTCAAACAAACTCTCAGTCTCTTAATCTAGAGAGAAGAGACTGGTGGGACTCATTCCTTGTACACAAGAATCCCACATATTTTCTTGAGCTTTGTGACTATTTCTAGTAATAAATACCACACTCAGGTAATTTTCTTTCAAATAAAATTGAAAAATTATTAAATCCGAGTGCAATAAGTCGACTATAAAATGTGTTTTAAACAAGCTTCTGTCATCTGTAATGCAAGTCTGTACTTTTAAAACAAAATACAAATTTTTGTTCATTCCTTCCCTTTTAGCGCTCAAATAATGACTAAATTTTCTCAATGGGTGTTTCCAGAAAACTGAATTGTTTAAAGAGTAATTTTACTTCTCAAGTCCACAATTCCATTTTATGTCACATGCTACATAATCAAGTTAAAGAGAGAGCTAGATATTTACCTTCAAGCTGAGTATACAGTTTGCTTAGGAAAGAAACATTAAATATCCTCTTTATCAGAACTGGAGGAAAATACCCAGCCACCGCCAAAACATAACCAAGCAGCACCAAGTGGTGAGTTTCAAAACAACCTTTAAAAACCAAACAGAAAATTCATATTTACACATGACATAAAGTTGAAAAGATTTGCAATGCCGTCCCAAATGTTCCGAGTTTCTCTTAACATACTAAACACACAAGCAGATTAAGGACTACCTCTGCTAACTGCACCAAGGCACAAGGTAACTCTTGCCAGCTCTTTGTGGGAGGAAACTACTTAGTCTTAAAAAAAAGGTAACTCCACAATACTTCAATAGCCAGCAAATTTTCAGTTTTGTGAGGCTGTATCATCAATCAAAAAAAAACCCAACCAAACTTGTCTCCACACATTTCCTCTACAACTTAGCCATTTCCTTCTGATGAATCACAAAATGTATCCTGTCCCCAAATGATGACTCCTTGAGGAATTCCGCAACGCTTCTATCCCATAACAGCACAGCAAATTAATCAGAATTTTCACTTGCTTTTTACTACCCTCAAGATACCTTGCTAGTCCCTTATCAACATAATTTTTTTAAAGGGTGAAATTAAGCTAGAAAACCCAACAGAAGCATATGCTGAATCTCTGTCACGGTTTAACCCCAGTAGGCAGAGTGTTCATAGTCACACACAGACACACTTTTTTCTTTGCTTAAAAAAAATGCCATTCTATTCTCATTTTTACTCAGTACAAATAATATCTTCCAATGATATTCATTTATTTGGTATCAGAGTATCTTTGTCTAATGCACTTACTCAAGTCAGAAGTAAGATGTTGGATACAACTTTCAAAGAACTCTTCATTGGTAGGAGGGTCATAATTCAGAGCAGAGAAAAGGAAGAGAATATAATAGATTTCAAAGGGGTGAATCTGGAAAAAAAGACATCCTAAATTAAGTTACTGCAAAACATCCTAATACTGCTTTACAATAAAAAAAAGTTTTGTAATTCACTCAGAATTGGTAAATTTAAGACTACATGAGCTATTTTCTAATTTTTTTGATCAGCTTTTCCCAGTGAAAAACACTAAAAAATTAAAATGCAGAAATAATTAAAATTGCAGCTATCGCTAAAACTTAAAATCTATTTCATGTAGATGATCCAAGTGTTTCTGTACACCTCACACTTTAAGAAGACTTTAAAAAGGTTTCCCATTAAATACTTTTAAAGAATCTAAACCGTCATAAAATAAAATAAAAAGATCTGTACAAATACCAGATTAAGAAAGAGACAGAAAAAAAACATAGCAAGAAAACAGTAATTTTGACCAAAAAGACAGGCTACTGTGGAAATCCCCATTAGAATGAGTAATGTAAAAATACACAGTGTGATGTGAATGTTTTTAAAGAGATTTTTAAAAAATTATTTAAGATGCACAACTGTAAACCTGAATGCAAAGGATTATGGTTGACCTAACACTTAACATAAGACAGGAAAATTAAAGCTAAGTGGATGCAAGATAATATACATGGAAGCAACACAGCTTTCAGTGAACACAGAAAAAGATGAGCTCCAAACCAGGTACACTGAAGAAAACTCTTTAGAAACACTGTGGATTGTGCTCTGAAACACGTTAACTAATAACCTGTCCTTTCTTACTAGAATAACTTACACAGTTAATGGAAAGAAAAACTGTAATACCTTGTGTATATTTTCAACAGTCACGGAAGCTATTCTGTCAAGTAATGGAGGACAACAGTGGTTTGCTTTTATGAGAAAAAAAGCCAAGTGTAACACATTTGCCCGTGTTATTTGGTCTATCAAGCGTTGACACGTGGCCATAGTTTCCTCACTGAGGACTTCTTCAAACCACTCTCCATTCACATGTGTAAGTTCTTCCAACAGAAGATTTAAGTTGTTGGCTTTCTGAAGCCTCTGAAATCCACAGTCATTTAGTTTTTGCAGAATCTTTACACATAGCTCAGAACTGTTTTGCCAGTGCAACTGGTCATAATGATTCCATTTGACAAGAGCTGTAGCAATGCATTTCAAATGATGGAGCCTGCACTGAGGCAGAACTGCTGCTGCTTTGTTTATAATTATTTCCTCCACTGGAAAGGACGGAAGCAAGGCCAGAACACGAATTATTGCAGCAGTATCAGCAGGTATAACACTAGATTTTAAAAAACTGGAAAAGAGACAGAAACAAAAACAGACCATCAGTCCTGACAAGGGCAAATGTTAAAAAAAACCCAAATAAATTACAAGCATAAAAATTCTATTTTAAAAGTCAAAAGCTGCCCATCAAATATAAAATAAGTAGAATATTAATGACATAGTAAAAATTCAGTTAGTAACTACCATCTTTTTTCACTGAGATTAACTTCTTCCTTCTAATTTATTAAGAATTGAAAAAGGGAAGACAACAGGAAGCATCTCAGTCAACTGTTGAGGCTTCAAGTGTTACTGATAAACATGGAAGTCCTTAGTAAGGCCAGAAGGTCCACATTTGTTAATGGAGTCTGTGAGTTTCTGGGCCCGGATAATTTCTGTGACTTCTGTCCTGGGGAGCACCAGGTTCTCAGGTGCCTGAAGAACATGAAAGCATCATCCACAAACATGTACAGCCAGGGCACTGCATTCCT